TATTGCTGTTTCTCTTGTGTTTTTCTCTCTTTGTTTTAATTTGCTGGTGTGTTATTTCTTTTCTTGTTATTGTTCTGATGTGTTTTCTATTTTTTGTGTTTATCGTAATGTCAATATCATTTAATTTGATGTTGTTCCTACTCCTACCTTAAATAAATTTTAAAAAACCAAACCCGAATACATGTAGGCCTACATGTACTGACACTGGCAGGCCTCTTGTGTGTGAATCCATAATTTACATGTAGTATCCTGTACTTTTTCTTGAATAACACACATTTAGGGTTAAAATGGCCTCTCCTCGGAAAGGAGGACACCCGCCCTTATTTGCCAATTTTTGTGGTTGTTAATGTTCTGTTCTAATTTTTATTTCGTTCTGTTGTGAAACCTTTATTTTTCACGTTTTTACACTCTGTGTAGCTACAAATGATCTTCTGGAGGCTTGAAAGAGATCACAAGAAATTCTGGTGCTTTAGATTAAGTTGTCTCTATCGACATATTTTACACACATATATATACATAGGCCCTATATAATATATATATATATATACGTCGCCACATAAAGTTTAAAGCTTGAAAATTATTGGCAACTTTTATGGCAATTTTTGTGGCAACTTTTGGACAACAAAATGGCAACAAACGCAGATGCTAGCCTTACAATGAAAGGGTCGCACCAGGTGTGAACTTTTCGACGCCTTTGATTTCTACGAACATCGAACTACAACAGCAAGGCGTGATTTGGTAGGCAGGACCAACAAGGCCGCATCAGACGAGGTCAGATCGAACTGTTTCATGGGTGCTTTTGTTTCCCTGAGTATCTTTACTATCAATTGTGCATCCGAATTTGCTTGGCAGATTTTGTGACTGTACTCTTGGACTGTCCGATTGCCTTTGTGTAATGTTGAGCCAGCCTTTCATTCTCCGAATTTTAATTGGTGCGTTTACAAAACTGATGAGTTACAGCCTGAATAGGAGCGGTGATTTCGATCAGAGATGAAGGAAAGCAATAAATACTTCACAGGTTGATAAAAGCAAAGGGGAGGAGAAATGAGTGAGATAACGCTTTATTGTTCATAAAAAGGGAACAAAATTACTGTGCTTAATAATTCATAGACAAAGGAATCATTGTAATCAATCAGTTAAAGCTGATTTTGCCTCTCTTTTGCTCTATACAATGTATAATGTTCATGTGTGAAAGCCTTGGCTACCTTTAAAGTGGAGGCCTTTTACCCATGCTTTCTAGACCTAAGACAACATAGTCCTTTGCGTTTACATGAAAGCTGGCACTCCCCTTTAATCATGCAATCATTGTGTCAAATTCAATACATGTACTTTGTGATATGTTTTAAAAACGAATCCTTTCAACAGGATCTTAAATATGTACAGGTGGAGTCCACTTATAACGAGTCCTGAAATAACGAGAAGTAGAAGTCTGTTATAAAGACACTGTTCTAAAACCCCGTTTTTTCCCTTCTTTATCTTTGTAAATAAAATACTGCTATACCGCTATCATCAGACAAACACGTGAGTCGGTTATAGTTGTAGCGGAATAGTATCGCTGCTGTGCCCAGCGCATAGGCCATTTATACCATGTAAAACCTCGCCAGTTGACAAACTTGTTGGTGATCTAGCTTAATAAAGAATGGGAGAGCACGCGTGTGTCAACAATGAAGGCGGAGCGAATGAGTGGGGAGGATGTATCATGCGCAGACAAGCAGTTGAGAAGCAGAACGCATTGCGTGATAGGCCAGACCAATCTAGATTATCTAGGCCTATCATTTTTTTTATCAGTTATCATGCCTCTCACTTCTCCGATGCGGGGATAGAGAAGCCATAGTGCTGTGACTGTGATGGATGGAGCGAATGTGTGACGTGCGCAAGCAGACGGAACGCACCGCAGGGTGTGGTGGGGTGGGAGACAACACAGCGGGCGAGGTAGGACAGAGAACTTTCTTTCTGATCGCCAACGCCGAACTGTCAACATTGCTAGCGCTAGAGAAAAAAATCTGTTTCGATTTTTGATCAAATAAGACCAAGAGGTCATGTTGGGCAAAATCACCATCAGGGTCAATAAACAGAACATCAAATTCATTGAATAAAATCTAGGCCTACTTTATTATTTCCATTGGACTTATTACTGGATCCCTCATAACGAGAATCCTGCTATAACGGACATTTCGTACCGGCCCCCTCCCTCTCGTTATAACAGGATTCCTCTGTTGTAAGATTTACTCTCCTGTAACTATTTAATCTTCTGTTACTCGGCAAGACAACTGTTTGTTTGTTTGGGGTTTTTTGTGTTGTTGTTGTTGTTTTTTTGGGGGGGTTCTCTCCACCACTACTCCTCCCCCTTACCTCCAACCCACCGCTTTTCTTGATTTTTAAAACTACATGTACTGGTAGACTGTTTCACGACTTGTCAAAATGGGGATCAAAACATTAAGTTCATAGTAGCCCTTATCAGACCCCCC